GACAGGCATTTCGTATAGACGTTAACACACACACACACACACACACACACACACACAGAAACGAGCTAAAGTAGCAGAAGCAGTATCAAAGAGAGTTAGCAAAACCATCCTATATTTATCTATGCATGTTCATTTTTCGTTTTGGGCTATAAGTATGTATAAGAGGTCAGATAGAGCCGGATAGTCTTGACGACGTATTGTTAATGTGAGACTTTTAGAAGAATGAGTTCCTGCTCTGATAGTGTCCATCATATGCTGGACGAAAGCTCAGCCCGTTTTCACCTGAAGCGAGGGAAGATGTCTCGTAGAGTACGTCAGCCTGAACGTCGTAGTAAAGCCAAACGGGAGGATTGCAATGGGATTCAACAGTCGTCGTCTGTTGAGATCAACCTAGGAATCTCTGCTTCCTACATTTTCATATAAAATGAAGGATCTCCCCCAAAATGTTATCTCACGAGATTCATCAAGGCCTTCGTATCTACATTTTGTATACTCAGCGGCTCAATTTGGACTAAAATCACCGCTCACCGGCTGATCATTCAGCAGGTTGGGCCTGGGAACAATTGGAGCCGCGAAACACGGTCATCGTCTTCATGTGACTCGAGGTCATATAAATTTTGCGATGATTTGCCTTTTGTTTTCGTTTATTATGCCCGTTTACTGGCCTGATTTGCACACTTCAGACATTTCCGTCTGTCTTGCATCTTTAAGCCTTAAAGAAGCGCATCAGCGGCCAAGTTGCTTGCCAATCAACAGGCTGAGGTTGCCGGCTAAAGGAAGGCAGGCAGGCATGCATGTGAATATGCGAGTCCTCAGGGTAGCCCCACTGACTACTACCCTGTCCTAATGCCGCTTCTGGAAAAATGGTACCGAAAGCCAATGCTCACATGTCGGGCCACGGTACAAAAGGCTGGCAAGATGTGAACCAGCAAGGAGCTGAGATTTATGCCACTAAATTGGGGTGAGGTGTGCAACCCCTCAGGAGTCCGTCTTTGGATCACAGACTCCGACATCCGAAACTCTGGACCAGCAGTTAAGGCCAGAGGAGAACCCTACCTGCGAGGGCAGATGACACATGCTGGGAAGTAATGCGGTCACCTGATCAGTGTTCTCGAGACGATCAATCCGGGCAGCTCTATCTCCAAGCGGTTGCATGTGCGCGATTGCTTAAAATACATGTGGGGAGTGCGCTGCGCAGAGGCAAGTTAACATAACAACTTAGTCGCCCAAGTTCGCACAAGGCAATGTTTAGACTGATTGTAGATTTTTCCCAAAATAAGATGAGTAGGTTCCACTATACACTTCGATTTCATTTGGCCCTGCTTCCCAAAAGCCTTCCCCATACAAGCTGGACAGGAGCGCAGTGTCGACAGCGACTCATCAACAACACCTCTAATTGGATTAGATACCGGATCGTGAATAGTGTGACTATGTTGCCAGTCACTACACAAACTTTGGTACCAGTGTGCCACAGGGCAGATGATAAATTCTAGGCAGCCCAGGTTGATCTACATTCACATTTTTTAAGTGGAACTGTTGATTTGGCAAACATGTCTTTTCTAGTGAAATCGAAGACTAATTATCTTTTATACGAGATGCATTCTTCCTATTTCGTTTAAGGTGATGAAGGATTGGCAGCTGAAATTTCCCACACTGATATGAGTAAAGCTGATGCTTTAATTGAATTGCACACAGCCTTAGTTTCACAATAGATGCTCTCATCTTGGGCGTACTGCAGTTTCGACCTCTCTTAGGCTTTATAAACACCTCCAAAGGGACTCGAACCATGGCACGTTAACCCCTACGCAACGAGTGCCCTATGGTTACAGGGAAGATGTGAATTTAAAGGAAGGCCAGGTATTTTCCCATATCACATCCCTTGGTGGGATTGCCGATGAAGCAAATCTATATTTGTTATGACAATCGGCCACATTACGTAGGCTTTCGAGACTACCCGTAAATCTATTATATATGATATGGCGTGGTGATTAATACGTCGAGATTACATACTGCACTGACACGGTTCGACTCCTGTTGGGAGTCTTGATATGGCCTATACGAGATCGAAACTTGATGAAAAGTTCTTTTGGGAAACCTAGGCTGTGTGAAATTCAATGGAAGCGTCTGCTCTACTTATAGAATTATGGGAAAATTTAACTACCAATCCTTCATCACCTTAGATAAAATGGGGTGAATACACTTCATATGATTGATTTGCTGGTAGTTTTATGTGAATAGTTTTGGATAGTTTTAGTAATTCTCAAATAAGAATTTACTCGGAAGTGGTTTGACTTCATGTTTGTAATTTTTCGTATCATCAAAGAGACCATAATAAACGCACCAAGTAAGGACTTGTTTTTCATAATTACCCATGCACAAAGTCTACTGTAGGATGCTGGAAACTGTCATGACGAAGGACCAATGACCGTATAAGTTCATCTAAGTCTCTTTGACGATACGGCCCAGTTGCAAAAATGAAGTAAAACAACTTCTATTTGAGGTAAGGAAATCTAGACTTTAGTAAATGTCACACAATCTTGGCCTTTATACCTTTAAAACAAACTTACTAAGGCTAAATCGAATCGTTGATGTTT